CACCAGTCACACCGGGGTTGAGAAATGTCCTTTTGTGACCATTGTCTGGTGCAGAGACAGCCAGCCAAGGGGATGTGCAGAGAAACCAGAGAAGATCCCCGGGCCAGACTCCTGGCTCTGCTTCAACTTGCTGCTGGCTCCCACAGGCAGGGGGAAGGACCACAGACCCAAGTGGCCACTGCAGAGCGTGTGGTTGGTGTATCCTGGGGCAGGCACCTTCTGGGCATTTCTCTGCAGCACACCAACCACTTCACCTGGAGCACTTTCTCAGCTGTGTGGGGGTGGCTACACCCCACAGGATACCAGGAATAACCTCCCATCCTCCCTTCACTGGGCTCATCCCAGCATCAACATGGGCAGGTCCTTCTCAGTCATCTCCTTGCAACTGGAAAGCGTCTCTCCTTGCCAGGACTGAGTGATGGCCAATCCCAGATAACACCCTGACAAGCTCCACTCTTGGTCCCAAAGCCAAAGGCTTCCTGCATGGGCAAGAGCCTGTACCCAGACAACAGCTGGCTGCTCGCACCTGTTAGTGGTGGAGAAATAGTCCTTCACGTGTTTCATGGACAGTTTCTGCCAAGTGCATGTAAAGCAGCATTCAACTGGAAGAGATCTGGGGTGCAGAACTGAATCCATATGACCAGGAGGGGACACAACATGGATGGGCATGGCCAGTAAAGAACAAGCACTCCCAGCAGGCCATGCTCCAGACCAAGGAGTCAGAACAGGTCATGCCTGTTCCTCAAGCATTACAAGTCACCATCATGAGCCCTTCTTTCCCCAGGAGAGGAAAACCCAACCCAAACACAGAGAGGGATTCACCTGGCAGGCTTGAGAGCAGATGGCAGCAACAAGGAGAGCAGCAAGGGCAACCAGAGAGACCTTCATGTTCCCATCAGGAGCTAAGCAGACATACAGACCATGTTTGTGCTCAGCTCTGATCCAGTCCTTACGCTCCGCAGGGAAGCCCTGGTAATGGGTGGTATAAATGGGTGGGTTTAGGAGAAAGGCTTCTTGAGTGATGTGGAACTGCCAGAACATGGCCAGTGTAGGTTAGAAAGACAAAACTCAAAGAGGCAGAGCCGTGAGGCCAAGTTCAAACCATCATCTATCAAAGAGCTGCAGGGAAAGGTCATGGCAGGATGTACATCCCTTAATATAGTAGGTGCTTCAGCAACATCAGCTAGAAATAACCACAACTGCACTCCTCATGTTGCAAAGAACTGCCAAGAGCAGGAGCCCTGAAGGGGCTGATGAAGGGGGTAAACTACAGAATTGGGTCAGGAACAGGGCCCAGCCATTGGGTCTGATGGTCTGCATGGCTCACCTCTTTTCCCAGGGCTTCTCCCAGCTTCACTGAGAGAAAGGGAACAGACACAGGGTTCATGCTCTCAAAAAGACCACAGGGGACCAGGATACCAGGTCCAGTCTAAGCACATCCAGTTGTGGACCAGGCTTGACTCTTTGCTCATGGCACCTTGAGGGTCTTCTGACCTTCTGGGTGCCTTCTGAGCAGCAGGTAGTGAAGGAGAAGCCTGTGATTCATGGGGTCCAGCAGAGTCAACCTGCCAGGCTCCATGGAAGCAGCTGGGCTTGGCTTTTGTCCACTTCTGTAAGCACATGAGAAGCCTGATGGCTGAGTGACCTTCGAGCAGGCAACTGGGAAGCTGAACTCTTCCCTTGCCTCTTGGCTGGACTGTCATTCCTTCAGCTGGGTGGTGAACCATTTGGCCTTGCTGAGTCCTGACTTGTGTCTTAAGACTTGATACCTGGCTCCACGCTTGTTTGTGCCCCATGTCCCCCATGCAGTCTCATGGTGGAGCCCATCCCAACTTGCACCTCATTTTGCAGCACAGATGCCCCTGAACTGCTTGCAGAGCAAAGAAACCTGCAGGAAAGGGAGTGCTGGGCTGTCAGAGTTGACATGGAGAAGGTGTTGTAAATGCTGGGCCAGGAACTGACCTGTAGCTGGGCCATCTCTGGCAGATTTCTGTGCAGCAGGCACAAAAGGGCTGGAGATGCCCCAGCCTCAGGACAGGACCGTCGAGAGCAGCTGGTACCTCCTCTGGATTCAGCAGTACCTCTCCCCACAGCAGCTCTCCCACCTTGTCCAAGTGTCCCCTCCCGGCCGCCCTCCCCTGCTCAGAGCTGGCAGCAGGCAAGGGGCTGCAGGCAGGCTGCTCCCGGCATGTTTGACCCCTGGGGCTGTGATTTCTCCTTCGCTCTAACAGACCCCCGCCGTGGTGCTGCCCCCACCATCCCCATCCCTGTGGGTGGCAGGGACAGCCAGGCAGGGTGGGCAGGCATGGGAGCCCCACGCAGACACCTGCCCTCACAGAGCCTGACACAGGGGAAGAGACGGGTCTGGGGCAGGGGGAGCAGGGCTCCTGGAGCAGGCTGGTTTGGCTGCTGCACCTGGACCTTCAGAAAGGAAACCGAAACCAGAAAGGCTGGAGAAGGAAATTCCCACATGTGCCTGGGCTCCTGGCCAGGGACTGTCCAGAGAAGCCAGCTGCAGCACTGAGTCCTCCTGCCTCTCCAGCCTGTTCCCTGCACCCCAGGCCTGGGGCAAACTTCAGACCACCCAAATGTTCCCTCTCACCCACGACATCCATCCTCCATCCCCTTGCAATGCCCCGAGCCCCACATCAGGGACTATTTTGGGCTCCTGCAGTTCCTCTGCAGCACCAAACTCTGCTTCTTGGCACAAAAGGCGACTGAGTGTGCAGAAGGCATGGGGAGGTCGGGATGCTCTCAAGGGTAGGAGACCCCAGCACTCCCTTCCCGGGCTCCTCACCTCTCCACCTGCGGGCAGCAGCTCCTGTCCATCTACCCCACCATGCGGTGGCCAGTCTCGCTCCCGTGTTTCATGGCACAGCAGGGAAGCCCTGCTCAGGATACACCTCTGCAGATTTTGTCTCTCCCCCATGATGGCAAGCCCTGGCCATATTTTGGGACATGATTTTTGCAAACATGCTGACCCACCTTGTCCCTGCTTGGACCGTCTCTGCTAGGACCCTGCTATGCCAGGCGAGCACAGGGACCCTGCCAGGGGTCAGTGGGAGCTTGTGCCTCTCCCAAATCATCCTCCTGGCAGAGCAGTTAGGAGACATCTCCATGGAGCTGGAGAGGAGCCCTCCACATGGTCCCTCATCACCAGCACCATCTCCTGGGACACAGCATGGTGCCTGGGCTGGGTCTGCCCTTTGCTGGGCTGCTGCTCCTTGGATGTTCCATGAGCCCTCCTGCCTGCAGCCAGCTTTCCAGCTAGGAAAACACAAGACGAGAGGGAAATCACAAGACATGAGGAGGTGCTTTCCCAGCCTCAGGGTTGCCAAGTGTGATCTATAGCTGTGGGAAAAAATGAAACAATAAGAGGAAGGCTTTCTTGCATTAGGAAGAAGAAATACCAACTGGAGCAGAATGGCTGCAAGGCCAGGTCGGCTCTGGGTGACCATGCTGTTGGGGACATTTCTTCTCAGTGTGCAGAAGCAGAGAAGTCTGAGCAGTATTGCAGGGCCAAGCTGTGCCCAGAAGTGTGCTTTTACCCTGGGGACCTACTCCCTCCCATTCACGTTCCCATGCAAAGCCACATCCCAGGAATGACTACAGCCAGAAGAAAGCAGGTTTGCTGGTGGCTGTTTTACCCCTGCAGCATAGCCAAACCCTTCCCTTCATTTTACTGGTGGGAAAGGGAGGAACAACCCCTGTTGGGGTGGTCAGAAAGAAGGCTGGGGTTCCTGCCCCTTTCCAGGCAGCACTGTCGGGGCCCGGCAGGACCCAGCTGCGCACAGCTGGGGCTGGTGGCCAGAGATGCGGTGACGTCTCAGAGGAGCAGATAGTTACGCCGCGGGGCTGCTGACAGCGTGCATGTGGGTGCCTGTAGGCTCTGTGCTGGGAAACACTGCTGCTCAGCTGGTGGAAATGGCTAGGAGGGGTGGGTACAGGCAGGGAATTGGCCCTGCTCCAGGCCCCAGCACCCTTGGCACGAGGCCGGATGAGCAGCTCCTGTGCCCCGGGTACCTGCCAGCTCCCAGGGCAGCCTCAGCACCACGGCAGCTCCGTGCCCTCTGCTTCCTCCCATCCGGCCATGAGTCGCTCTCCCTTCTCCCCCTACAAAGCCTCTGGCAGGATTTTACCCCTTGCAGCAACGTGTCCCATCACTGCCCCACTGCACACACAGCATAAACAGGGACCAGTTCGGGGTGCGGCTTGTGGGGCTGGGAGCGGCAAGCAAGCATACGGATGTGCCTTGGGGGGTGTGGAGACTGCATTCATGTATGTATAAGGCTCATATGCGCATATAAACACGTCCAATTCTGTAGAGGATGTGGGAGGCGGGGGTGTATGTGGTGGAGGTTGAGGTGTCAGAGGATATTTGTATGTCTGCAGTATGGAAACTATATAGTTTTGCTTCAAACCCAAATTTCTCATCATCATGTGCCATATAGAGTGTGCCGATGGGCTCAGGGTGAGGTCCTGTCTCTGTGCTGGTGAAGATCACAGGGAAGGGAAAAGAGGGAAAAAAGCAGAAGTTTCATCCGAATTCTTTATTCTCTAGAATCGTGATTTCACACATGTAAGCCTGGGCCACTCATCATCCAACACTGAGACTCTGAGCCACTCTCCCATAAATATCCCCCCACCACCCTCCCATAAATAGCATTATTGTCCTCAGAAGAAAGTACTGCCTATGCTATATGAAAATTTCTCAAATAATTTAAAATAATATAAGAACAATAGAGGTGCAGTCCCATGGGCCTTCCCAGGCCATGGGCAGAAGTGTCAGGGCAGAGGGATGAGGTTGCAGACTGGTCCGTGCAAGCAGCAGCACCCTGACACGAGATGTCTCCTGGTGCCTTCCCAGCAGTCCCTTGGAGCAGCCTGCAGATGACGTGGGCTCCTGCAGCTCCTGCTGCCCCAGTGTCCTGCTCCATCGCAGGAGCTCAGGATAACACGACTCATGCATGACAGCAGCTATTCTTGCCATCTTGCTTTGCTCAGTTCTGCTTCAAGTTTTGCAGGTAACTTTGAACCCAGGTGTCGCTGGGATTGGCACAGACTTGGCGGCCTTTCTTTGTGATGAACCTATGGAACAGGGATGAGACATATTAGATCTCTGCTCAGACCCGCATCCAGGAGATGCTAGATCCCAGCTTTGGGGCATTGCAAGAGGTTCTCCCCTCTGCCCTAAGCTGCTGCTGAAACCAGTGGCTGGCTGTGATTTCCCCAACTCCCACCCCTTTTCCCACCCTGCCTCCTCAACTCCTGCACAAAAATCCCTGGGTGTCCCCACAAGAGCATCCCCAGCAGTCCCCACATCAGCCCTTTTCCCTTGGGGTTCCCCTCACCCTGCTCTGTTCCTACAGACCCCCGTGCCCAAAGCCACCCTGCCGAGATGGTCGCACACCCGTGCACACCCCGCAGCGGCTGTCCCTGCACCGTCCCAGCTTGTCTGCACCCAGGAGTCAGCGCTGGTACTTACACAATGGCCGGCAGGGTGCAACTGGTGCTGGTGCTGTAATAACGCAGGATGAGCTTCTGTGGGAGCTTGTGGCGTGCGTAAGAGAAGCAGCAGATTGGGAGGTCGGATCCAACTGGAAGAGGCAGGGAGAGAAAACGTGAGCATGTGCTGGGCTGCATGTCGGAAGCAGCCAGCCCATCAGATCAGGGAGCTGTGCTGGCAGGGAACAAAGAGGGGAATTAGAAAATAATTAAGGTTGAA